CATTTTTCCATCAGAAGCGTCTGTCGATCCAAGATATGTAAACGCCTCAACAGTTTTAATGTTGTACCATCAATGAATACGGAAGGATTTGTGAGAGATGGATGGCCTGCTAATGTCTGTTACATTAGCTCAGTCTTCTTTCTGTTGATAGTGAATCCAAATGCTTTCGCTGTTTCAGATAATTTATCAAGGATAGTTTGAATGTCTTCTATACTGTTTGCTAATAGAGAATCATCGTCTGCAAAGAGAAGATCGTGTATCAGCTGCAGACCAAGTTTTGATTGTGCTTTAAAACGTTGCTGATGGTATAGACCTTTCGCCATTTTTATAACATTGACTTTAATCACTTAAGTCAGAGAATGCTTTTTCAAGCAATGCAGAAGAGAAAAGTGCAAATATATTTAGAACATTTAAAGAACGCAGTTTTGCTTTTGTACCTTTGGAGACGAAAAAAGGCGTCCAACTGCTCACTTCCCCAACCTTATAAAAGCTTTCATTCCTTTAGTAAATGAGATAATAATATGGATTAATTTTCTGGAACACCTAATTTTGACAAAACTTCCCAAAGAGCAGTTCAAGAGACAGTATCGAAAACCTTTGTGAAGTCTACAAAAACAACAAATTTATCCTTGTTTTGTTGACCTGACCCTGCAGGAGACAAAAGGTCATATCCATGGTACCACTACTGGATCGAAAACCGTACTGGGTCTCTGGTAATGCTGATTTTGAGACAAATTCATTAAGCCTATTCAGGATGATACGAGCAAGGATTTTGCCAGCAACTGAAAGAAGAGATATTCATCTATGGTTATCACATTCACACCTGTTCCCTTTGCGCTTAAACAAATGGACAATTGAAACATTTTTATATTGCTGTGTCACTTCTCCCTTTACCCACACAAGGATGAAAAATTCACAAATTATGCGTGGCTAAAGATTGGTACCACATTATTATATTTCAACCGGAATTCAATCTTCGCCGGTGGCTTTTCCATTCGAAAAAAAAAAGCAATATATATGCACAATTCATTGAAAACGACAGACAAGGTGCTTTTAATTAGTTTTTTATACAATTTCTCATGCGATCTAATAATTTTTTTCTTTTCTAATGATAAATTATATAAAAACATTAGGCATTTTCTGTCTAAGGTAGCTAATAGCAACGGCGAGAATAGAAACATAAAAAAATAATATTAATATTTTTTATAAAAATCAGATGAACAAAAATTATAAACAGGATGAATGCAGAATTAAGAACATTATAAAAAAAATGCATAACACCAGTTGATAATAGCGAAAAAATTAATTATTTATTACAAAAAATTTAAAACCTCTAACGTTATAGTTAAAAATAATAATTCACCTCTTAGAACAAAATTAAATAGGGCTAATATTATTTACGAAATTAAATGCCCATTAAGGAATTGTATTCCTGATCAATCAAAATTCGTAAATAATTATATAGGCCACACTACAACATGTTTGACACGCAGACTCACTCTACACCTTTCTGACCATAGCTCAATTAGATCTCATTTAAATATTCATGGAGACCTACTGGACACTATTCGTAACATACTTGTTGACAACACTAATATAATAGCATCATCTACATGCAAAAAAAGGCTAAAAATAATGGAAGCCTTATTAATAAAAAAAAAAAAAAAAAAACAACACTTAATAATATTAACTTTGAACATGGACATAATATCTTGACCGTGTTTTGAAAAATGAAAACATTTTATAAAACATACATACAACAAACTATTTCTTATTTAACAGTTAAAATATTTAATCCTTGAAAATGGCTAAATGTATAGCCGAAAGCGCTCGGATAAAAAGAACATTTGGACAGTTTTTATATAATTTATCATCCGAAAAGAAAAAAATTATTAGATCGCATGAGAAATTGTATAAAAAAAAACTAAATAAAAGCACCTTGTCTGTCGTATTCAAAGAAATGTGCATGAAAGAAGAATTGCTGCCTAAATACACACACACTTTATATCAACGATACCAACACATATTAAGACTGGCGAAGTCATCTAGTGCAGTGGTCAGCAACCTTTTGCTATGTGCCGACTTAGGGTTTTAAAATCATTCAGTGTGCCAAGCCAACAGCATACATATTTTTATACAAGTCAAGGTCAATATATCTGTTCTACAATATATTCTATATAGCAATATGTAATAATATGTAAACCACATTAATAGAAATAAACTGTTTTTAAAAGTTTTTTTATGCTTTTATTATTAATGGGAGTCCAACGAGTGAGCAGTTTCGAAACAACTAAATATCTTCTTTGCGTTGTAGCAGTTATTGGTACTGGCTTCGTGATTTGCGGCTGCGTGCCATTGGAAATTGCTTGGCGAGACACAAGTGGCACGTATGCCATAGGTTGCCGATTTCTGACCTAGTGAGTTCTTGGACGAATATTTAAAACAAGAATGATTTGATGATGCCAACTTTGCTGGTGGGAGTTGGTACAGTTAACTCCCTGAGGCCCACTGGTGTTAGGGTGGGGCATACTGCGATCGCCATTAGGACCTTCCATTTTCTTTTTCTTTTTTTCTTTTTTTTTTGATTTTTATTGGTTAATCAGGTTTGACTATTTAAGCAACGTTATTATAATTTATGACGTTCCGGACTCAGAAAGAGACGACGCGTTCATTTGAAGTTCCGAAAAATTAATGGACTCCATATCAACCCCCAAAAATGTAAATATTGCTTTATGTATGTAAGTGTATCATAATTCTAGTTTGTCAGTGTTACATTCAGATGATTATGTATATTCGTAAGAGTGTGTCTGTGTGTGGCAGACATTATTCATATTTAGTCTTTGCCTATATATTGATTTGAGGACGTATTTACGTAAACACCGGTTGTATTAAATATTCTTTAAGAATGGATTTAATAAAGGTTGATGTAATTTAGTGTTTTTGACGTGCAATGGACAGAGCGACTACGAATGAGATATCGAAATGTTCGTTACATTCATTTACGCACGAATAGCCTCGGGAAAGGTATGAATCCATCTCTTCTCTCCAAAGCTATAGATTGAATAGCAGGACAAAATCATTAATGTTTCTGTTCCTAATTCTTTCAAACCCTGTAACCCCTTATGTTTTAGTGGCATTACTGCTTTGCTTGGGGTGATTCCGATTAAAAAAAAAAAAAAAAAGACAAAAAACAACGAAAAAAAAACATAAAGTAAAAATATAAGAATTTCATTCTTCTTTTTTCTCTATATTTCAGGATAGATTTGGTTGGCAACCAATCTGCTGCAGAAAGAACCTCCTGCGGGAAAATCTTCTGCCATATAAATCACGAATCGAAAGAGACATGTTCGCCCAAGCATGTATCATGTATGGCACCTAACTGACTATTTATAGTTGGTAAAAACATGATCAGGATTTCTTCGAGGCAAAGTTTGTTTTAGTTTTTTTTTTAAATTAAAAACGCTTAAAAAATATATATATATATATATATATATATATATATATATATAAATAATATATATATATATATATATATATATATATATATATATATATATATACTATTTACATTGTTCGAATGTTGCCCTCATCTTCGTTGCCATATTCACGATATTTCGACCTTTCTGCGCTCCAGGTGATTGGAATTTCGAACTGAACACTTGACTTGATTGTTCCAGTTCCACGTGCCATGCCTCTTCCAGATGTCTCAGTATCAGTTATCTCCCACTTAACTCAACTCTCCAAGAACACAACTTTATTGAATAAAGTATCTTATTTCTTTATTATTATTATTTCCTTCGATTTCTGTTCTATACACATTTTTTCATAAAAAAAGAGACCTAAAAAAGAAATGACATCATGAAACAGATTTCCTAGTAAACATTTTTTATAAAAAAAAATATATTAACCCAAGATCACACTCATTTTACATACATACAACCCTTCGTAATGTGTAAGCTGCTCATATGAGTCCAATTTTTTGTATTTCTTTAAGGCATGGGCTGTCAGGAATCACTTCATTGAGTCTATAGGAACCTTTTCTAATCAATCCGAGGGTTCCAATTAGAACTGGAATTATTAATATCAAAATGTGCCACATTTTGGTGATTTCCACTTCAAGATCCTTGTATTTTGATAACTTTTTGAAGATCTTCAAAGAAACATTAAAATCTACAGGGACTGCTATGTCAATACAAAGGTACATTTTGTTTTTGCGATCTCTGATCACGATGTCTGGCCGGTTGGCTTTCACTGTGGGTATTGTAAAGTTCCATAAAATCGTTACAGGTCCTATCTCTGTAACTGGGTCTGGGTAATGTTCATACCAATTTCTTTCAGTTTCCTTTCCGTAAAAGTTGCAGATTTTCCAATGTAGATATTGGTCCGCACTGTCATGCTGGATTTTATATTCACTTGGTACCAACACCGCGCAACCTGATACAAGATGGTCAACTGTTTCTGGATATTTATCACAGAATCTGAATTTGATGGTCAACGCAATTTTTCAGTATGCTTGCTCAGTAATTTCTAGTTAGCAAACAGTGGTCCTGGACAACAAGATTATTATTATTATTATTATTATTATTATTATTATTATTGATTTAATATTTTAAAATAATTTTTAAAATATCTGAATTTGAAGGCAGAGTCTCTTTCTAAATCTGTTCTCTCCAATCAATTCAGTGCAGCAAAAAATCAAATTGACAGTTATAAAAAGACTTCCCTTTTAATTGTTTGTATAATTGTTGCTAAAACCAATGCTTTACTCTACAAACGCGACCATTGAACGAAATGCAAAATTGTGTCAAAGTGTGTGTATTAATCCGTGTGTGTGTGTGTGTGTGTGTGTGTGTGTGTGTGTGTGTGTGTGTGTGTGTGTGATAGAAAATTTTCAAATATGAATAAAATATCATAATAATCAATATAAAAAGAAAAAAGATAGAAAGGGCAAGTCTTTGATCGAAATGATTTCTGTGTCCCAAGATGGGTGAGCCCTTGGGAAGACCGGTTTCCGTACGATCACCGAAGTTAAGCAATGTCGAGCCTGGTAAGAAACAAGATGGGTGACCGCTTGGGAATACCAGCTGCTGTAAGCTTGGATATGCGTGCGGTATGATGGGCTTACAGCCATATCACATTGAAATACCAGCTCGTGTAAGATCACGGAATTTAAGCAACGTCGAGACTGGTTAGTACCAAAATGGGTGACCGCTTGGGGATACCAACTGCTGTAAACTTGGATATGCGTGTAGTGTGATGAGCTTACGGCCATATCACGTTGAAATACCAGTTCGTGTAAGATCACGGAAGTTAAGCAACGTTGAACCTAGTCAGTACCAAGATGGGTGACCGCTTGGGAATAACAGGTCCTGTGAGCTTGGATGTGCGGTTAGTGTAATGGGCTTACGGCCAAATCACATTGAAGCATTATTTCCCGTATGATTACTGAAGTTAAGCAACGTCGGGTCTGGTCAGAACCAAGATGGGTGACCGTTTGAGAATACCAGGTGCTGTAAGCTTGGATTTGCGTGTGGTTTAATGGGCTTACGGTCATACCACGTTGAAACACCGGTTCACGTACAATCACCGAAGTTAAGCAACGTCAGCACCAACATGAGTGACTGCTTGAGTGACTGTATACTTGAATGTGTGGTTGGTATAACGGCTCAGAATTTCAAATCGGCGAACCGAGTTCTAATTCCAGTCGGGTTCGTTATAGTTACTTATGTGTAAGTAACCCTGGGAAAGCACTTAAAAACGTCCACCGTTATGGGTTAATTAGCTGGACTTTTATCAGTAAATCATTATCTCCAAAAAAAATTCTTAGAATCAAAAAATATTTTCTCTCTTTAAGTAACCTGCAAAAAACGGTAAATTTGGACAATAGTAGAATTCCATTCTAATAAAAAGATGAATTTGAAAACATCTTAGTAGCAGTGAAAGTATGACATGTCATATGCATTCATAGTTGGTCTAAGAAATGATCTTGAACAGAAAATCAGTTTCTTCTACCATGTGCTCCAAGAAATAAGAGTCAAAAGAAACGTTTCCAAAACAGTTATTAGGATCTGGAATTGGAATGAAAGCAGTGATGGCACGTATCCTGAATCCATCCCCAAAATTCAAGATGTGGAATTAGTAAATACTAAACACTTTAAATAGTTTGGATCAGTTCTAACAAATTTAGTAGAGGACATAAGAAAATGAAAACGGGATTCAATGTATATTTGAAGTTATTCAAAGATCTTGGTTTCATCTGACTCAGTCCCGATCTGTCATGTCTTGAAGCCAGAACTCTACGTTCGCTTCTCTGAACTTGCTTTTGTGTGTTATCACCAATTCTTAGTTTGTGAACCTTTTGCCTTATTACTGTTGCTTTGCCTTATTACTGTTGATTTGTCTTGCATATATTGTTTGTTGTATATTATTTTTTATTCTGTTCTTTTCTTTTTCTTGTTATTGCAAACATTTGTCAATTCTGTTTGTTGGACAATTCTGTTATTTCTTTTACATTTGACTATGGCTACTCACTCTACATTCCAGTCAGGTTTGTTATCACTTATGCACAAATACCCTTGGGAAAGGTATGAATCCATCCCTTTTACCCCCAGATATGTGTTAATTAGTAAGACGTATCACTAAATCATTATTATCTGCCATATTATTGTTAATTTGCTTTGAATATATTGTTTGTTTTATATTATTTTTTCTCTGTTTCTTTCGTTTTCTTGTTATTGTTTATTACAAACTTATCAATTCTGTTTGTTGGACAGTTTTGTTTTACTTTGGATCCTGTCTACTCACTCCAAAAGAATTCGATAGCAAGTTGCTATAAAGCCAAAACATTGGCATAAAAATTCCGTTACCATTCCTTGTAAAACAGCTGAGTTTTGTCATCAAATGAATTCAAAACGAGGCCTCAAATTTATCGTCCTTGGGAACACCTTAACGTCGGGTAACCGTTAGCGAGCAATTGTCGTGTAGTGAATTTGATCCTGACTGGGTGCCCCATGCTGTTAGCCTTGCATGAAAACTAAATAAAAGCTCTCCATCTTTGGGCATTGATGATAACAGAAAGTTGGCATGTTCGTCTGATTGAACGACTGGACATGTAAAAGCACAACGCTACCTATACACCCCCCGACCCCAGTCGAGTTCATTGCGCCCCCCCACATCGTACTTGATTATGAACACCGTAATTTTCACAGTGACTGCCAAGGATGCGGCTCGCCATGGCAAGAAATGATTTTGAATTCCGTGTTTTTCTTCTCTTAAACTGGTTATCCATACTATTTAACCCATAGCTGGGGTGCGGTGATGGGTTCATACCTTTCCTAAAGTTATTTGTTCAAAAGTGTATGTAACGACCTCGACCAGAATTCGAACTCGGTTCGATTATTTCTTGCTCGAAGCTGCTAACCGTAACGTTAGCTTCAAATCCTAACAGAACTAAACTTTTAAATGATTTTCTTTTCACAACTAACCGAACTTATTAAAAGATATATTAAAAAATGCTTCCAGAAAACGCAATTGAAAATTTAATAGCGCTGGGCTTTTAAAATCCGCCCACACTGGCTACCAACTCGATACAAACTAATGACTCGATCGATGTTTGCCCACAGAGACTTGTACTGACCAATCGTCAGGATTTTCTGTTTTATTGGAAGAGACGGGCGCCTCTCAATGGATACGTTCGCTTTTCTTTCTTTCTTTTTTTTTTCTTTCTTTTTGTTGCTGTTGTTATTAAATTAGTTGTCCATATAAGCCAGACTTTCTTCTTTATGGATCTTCTTTCTTGTGCCATGTCCTTTACGGGTGTGGACGATCATGGCTCTCTACAACTTCCCTTATTTTCTGCTCTATTATTCTTTGCTTCTGAACTATCCGTTTATGTTTTCTTTCTTTCTTTCTTTCTTTCTTTCTTCTCTTCTCTTCTAATCGATTTGTGTTTTTCTTTCTGTCAGTAATTATTACTCCCTTTCTTTCTTCTTGTCTTTCCTTCCTTCCTTCTTCTTAATCATTTTTCCTCTTCATTTTTATTACCTCGTTCCTTTCTTTCTTTCTTTCTTTCTTTCTTTCTTTCTTTCTTATCTTTTGCGTTTTTCCTTCTTTCTCTCCCTCATTATTACTTCCTTTCTTTTTTTCTTTTTTTTCTTCTTATCCATTTGTCATCTTTCGTTCCATCATTATTACTCTTCTTTCTGTCTTTCTTTCCTTCCTTCTTCCTAATCATTTGTTTTTTCTTTTTTCTTTATTACTCTCGTTCTTTCTTTCTTTCTTTCTTTCTTTCTTTCTAATCTTTTTCGTTTTCTTTTCTTTCTTTCCATCATTATTATACCCTTTCTTTAATTCTTTATTTCTTTCTTTCTTCCAAATCCATTTGTGGTTTTCTTTCTCTCCATCATAATTTACGCACTTTCTTTCTTTATTTCTTTGTTTTAGTTTTCTTTCTTTCTTTCTTTCTTTCTTTCTTTCTTTCTTTCTTTCTAATCATTTCATTTTTTCCTTCTTTTTCTCTATTATTATTACTTTATTTATTTATTGTTCTTTCTTTCTTTCTTTGTAATCTTTTCGTGTGTATTTCTTCTTTCTCTCCATCATTATTACTCCTTTTCTTTCTTTTTTTTCTTGTTTTTTCTTTTTTCTTTCTTTCTTCTTTCTTGATTTTTCTTTCTTTTTTCTTTCTAATCCTTTCATGTTTTTTTCTTTTTTTGTCTATCATTTCCACTCCTTCTTTCTTTCTTTCTTTCTTTCTTTCTTTCTTTCTTTCTTTCTTTCTTTCTAATCCTTTCCTGTTTTTCTTCTTTCTCTCCATCATTATTGCTACTTTTCTTTCTTTTTTCTTTCTTGCTTTTTCTTTCTTTTTTCTTTCTAATCCTTTCATGTTTTTTTCTTTTTTGTCCATCATTTTCAATTCCCTTCTTTCTTTCTTTCTTTCTTTCTTTCTTTCTTTCTTTCTTTCTTTCTAATTCTTTCTTGTATTTTTTTTCTTTTTCTCCATCATTATTACTCTTTTTCTGTCTTTTTTTAGCTTTTTTCTTTTTTCTTTCTAATCCTTTCATGTTTTTTCTTTTTTTTTGTCCATCATTTCCACTCCTTTTTTTCTTTCTTTCTTTCTGTCTTTCCTCCCTTCCTTCTTCTTAATCATTTGTTTTTGCCCTCTTTCCATCTTTATTACCCCATTTCTTACTTCCTCCCTTTCTTTTTTCTTTCTTTCTTTGCAATCCTGAATTACTGAAGTATATATTATTCTCGCTTTTACTCTCCCTTCCTTCCATCCTTTTCTTTATCTCTCTCGCTCTTTTTTCTGACTTTTTCTTGTTTCTCTTTCTTTTCCACTTCTCTCACTCTCTGTTCATTTCTTTGTTTTTTATTTATTTAAGATTTTTTCTCACACTTTCAATAGAATTTCCAACCTAAACGATTTCTAATAATTATAGTTTCAAGTGAGAACCACTTTAATATTAAGCAACTTGCCGATAAAATACGAAGTACAAATCCATTTCTACATTTAAAGTGGCTTCGTGGGTGCCATATTAACATTTGATTTTGTCTTAAGCTTCCTCATACATTATCATCTTTGTTTACATTTTTATTTTCCTTAATTGAACAAACGAAAGAAATGATTTACAGAAAATCGCAGAAATCTACAGAAAGATTTCCTTATTTCAACCGACAAGTTGAAATCTAAGAAAACTTCTTTTACACAGTTTCCGAAATTTCTTTCTGCTTACAGCTTACTCTATAAACGTGACGTTATGTTCACGTTGGCTTATTCCTGGTATCACTATTAATAAATTTTTTTAATAATTTCACCCCAAGCAAGGCAAAAAAGCCACGAAGACATGAGTTGTTACTGTGTGCGAGCAAATAAGAAAAACTAAAACGTTATTAAGGAACGAGAACAATAAAAAAAGAGGAATCAAGACGACAGTAGATAACGATTGACATTGCATTTAAATCTTTCAAGATCAAACTTGACTGGCAAGCAATAAGCCAGAAGAGAGTTCTACAAGCGAGAAGTACGAGAGAAGAAACTATTAGCATAGAACTTACGGTTATATGTAACCATTTGAACTGTAAAATAATGAGAACTTGTTACCAATATTCAGATTACTTATAAAAGTTATTGATTCGAGAACTAAGATAGATAGATAGATAGATAGATAGATAGATAGATAGATAGATAGATAGATAGATAGAATTAGAGATAGATTGGAAGAACATGAGATAGATAGATTTGAAGAGATTTAGATAGATAGATAGATAGATAGATAATATTTATTCAAAATTATAACGTAAGCATGTTATAAAATGACTACAAAAATAGCCGTTTTCTTTCAACACATCTGGTGTCTTATCAAGTGATGATGTTGATTGTAAAATAAGAAGTTTTAAGAGTTCCAATCCAACCAAACCCCTAATAGGGAAAAACATTGTTACGTAAACCAATGGTGACCAATATTTATAGGGTATATCTCCAAATTTATTCCATCTGTAACAACCCTGTAATTAGTGTTGTGGTAACCCCCGCTACATTAGAATGAACTCTTCCTCCTCTCATAAATACGAACTACAATGAGTCGGTTGGAGAGCATAGACACAGTCTCTGACTGTGTGCGACTTCTGTCGAACTCTCTGCTTTGGCAGAGAGGAACCCGGACGAGACTATGCCGAAGGGCAGAGTTTCGTCCGGGGAGGTAGACAGACCCTGAGTCCATTTATATGGGTTCTAAGGGAATATTTTTGGCCGAGCTTACGGGCTCGGAGAACCCACAGTAAAATCGGCCTTGTGCCACATACAACCCTCGTTGGGGAGTGGGGGCTGTTAAATATAGCGTCGACACAGTGCCAACCTACTGTTCGGACGTACACCTCCTTCTGCTTATTACTAACACTCCTTGCTTTGTATATATCTTCAATATCCTTGTTCAACCTACCTTCGTCTTCCGTGTCTGTCTTTCTGACCCCTAAACAGACCACAACAATTAGATAGATAGATAGATGTGTTGAGAGGTCCGCCCCTTTTTATACAAATGGACTCACCCAGTGTATACTTATACTACTGCCAGTGAATACCTGAGGAGCCGAGTCGAGTCCAGAGTGACAGATAAAAAGGTTGCAGGTAACCGGAAGAGTGAGGGTGAGTTAACAGCGTTGTAGGAGTCACAGTGAGCGAGAACGTAGACCCAGGAAGAAGTCATACAACGATACTTCAATACCAAAGACTGTATATATATATATATTTTCCTACTAACTCGTATTCCTGGAACTACTAACCTGCTTTACCAGTTTGTATTATTACGTTAATACACTATTTTCATATTCCTGGCGTTTGTTAATTATTGGTACCGGATTTCAACCCGGAATCCACAACAAGATACATATGAAGTAACGGAGATAGATAGATAGATAGATAGATAGATAGATAGATAGATAGATAAAATATATAAATAGATAGATATATATTAGAAATAGATTAAAAAAAAGAAATTGAGAAAGATATAGATAGATAGATAGATAGATAGATAGATAGATAGATAAAAATAATAATAGATAGATAGAAATACGAGATAGATAGATTGTATAGATATTCCCGAAGATAGAAATCCGATAGATAACCCATAGATAGATAGATAGATAGATTTAGATAGATAGATAAATAGATTTAATATTAAATCGGAAATAAATATATACTTACTAACCTTTGCTGTAAGTCCAAATAGAAAAGTCTACCCTCCAGGAAAATCAGCTTTCTAATCTTGCTTTGTATCTCAGATCGAACACCAACCAACATAAAAAAATGAAAACTAAAATCTGAAACAATATCAGATCGACAGTTGTGAAAACATTCAGATAAAAGACACGGTGAAGCGAATAGTTGCTGCAGTATTGTGTAGGCTCATGGTTCATGCTTCATGAGTGGATTTCCTTCAATATCATCTTGCGCCATTATGGAAACCCACTGAGGACAAAGCGTTTCAAAACGAAAGAAAATAAATAAGTCAGCATAGAAGGACAAAACCTTTTTTTTTCATTCATGTTTGCTGCCCGACTGTCTTTCGTGTTTACTCATGAACTCGTTATATGAATCGTTATCAGGTTAATTCTTTCAAACCCTTATGTGGCTATGAAATAAAGGTTCTAGAAAGCACCTCCTAAAGCCGTTCATGTCAATGAAATTTAATTGTTGACGCGAAAGTAAGACTTTTGAAATGAATCCACCTTGCTGAGAGCATTTCAGATATACGCATGCGCGTCAATGGCAACATGGACGCTTCGATGGACAATTCATGCGACTATTTATTTAATTGAGTGATTTTCTTTTTACATTTTTTTTATTTGATCTACGATGATATATATATATATATATATATATATATATATATATATATATATTTACTTTTACAAAATTAATATACCTTAGTTAATGACCATTTTCACCTATTGAATCATAGGTCATTAACTAAAAACATCTTAATTTCATTTGTAAAATTTTAAAACTCTGTTTAATGAAAATAAAATTGAGCGCTCTTTTTGTGAATCACTTTTAACATATTTCAAATTCTATGTTGTGTTAATAGGACTCGACTGATTATTATAACGGATTACTGTATATATATATATATATATATATATATATATATATATATATATATATATATATATATATATATATATGACTGTATATATATATATATATATATATGACATTTTATATATATATGTGAGTATTGTCATCCATTTTAGATATTCGCTCTATTACAGCTCATCAGTGTGCCTAGACGTCCGATTGCCTTAACTAGGATCGAAACCCGGCTGAATTGGCGTCAAGCACAGAATCTACTCTTAAGCCGTTGGATTTTGCATTAGTAGCAGTAGTTTAGTCACTACCAACTCAGACTTTCTCCCCGATATATATATATATATATATATATATATATATATATATATATATATATATATATGAAAAGTTCAAAATGCAGAGGCTACAGGCTGTTTCATGCTAGAGGCAATCGTGTATATTCACTTTTATATTTATATTTACATACACTCTATCTCTGATATTAAGCACTTTATCCCATAAATATACCACATCTTAAATCTATATTTGTTCACATATATATATATATATATGTGTGTGTGTGTGTGTGTGTGTGCGTGTGTGTGTGTGTGTCCAGGTAATATGAGAACGAATAGATTACAATTCCAACGTTCGTAAAATTTAATTTGAAAGGGCGCTCAGTACAGTATCAAGAAATATTCCATGTAATTTTATTATACAAAACATAAGAAAATATCGCTAAATTTGCAAATATGTTTCGATGCGCATCAAAAATGTATCTCCTCAGGCGAGTGTAACTTATGGAGAGTGAAAATTCTAAATAAATCCTCTACTAAAAGTAATTTTATGGTCGTCTGATGAGATACATTGATGCGCATCGAAATAAATTTGTCATTAACAGTAAATAAAATTTTTTATTTTTTCGATATTATATCCTAATAAATATATATATATATATATATATATATATATATATTATATATTATTATTATTATGATTATTATTTAATAACTGAAAGATAAATAATAAAAGCAAAGTGACTAGTAGTAAACAAAACAAAATAATGTTATAATTAAAAACGCTTTACCAACAAATTTGAAATACATTACTTTGCAATTGATAAATAAGAAAATATAAGAGAATTAAAATCACACCCAATGTTATTAAAAGAATCTTTCAATATAAGTAATAATAGATAAAGAAAACTGACAATAATGAGCTATTAGTCAAAGAAAGATAAACAAAATAAACATTACAACTCTAAAAGCTTTCCTCCAGTTTCGAAAATTACGACCAAATTGTAAAAACAGAGAAATGTTACGTTTAAATTTAAATAGAATAGAATCTACAATTATTCAGACCACTATATAATAACAAAAACAAATAGAATCCATTATGTTAAGT